ATTATCTTAATAACCTCTTGTTAGATGTCCAAAAAAACTCTCTTATGTAGAAATGTTTACGACTGATTAGAGGTTAACAAATCAAAAGGGTATATAAGGAATTAAAATATTATCTCTCATCTCCCCTCCAAAAAACCCCACTTTTGGAGGGGAGGCTAGAAGGGAAGGGGAGGGGAGAAGAATCCCTCCCTTCTTTAAAAAACATCTTAACCAAACGAGGGAAGGGGAGGGGCTCCTCTCCCCTCCTAAAAAATTACACCAACCAAACAAGGGGAGGGGAAGATTGTTATTGCTTTTGTTTTATTTTTTGTGTGTGTAATGTGGGTTTACTGCTGTCTTCTTTATTATTGATAGGAAAACTTTTACCAGATTCTAATAATAGGAAAAGAACTAATTATTTTCCACCATACAAATATGAACCCTTTGAGTTTTTGACAGTAATTTCAAAGACATTGTAAAAATGTCAGGTCGTAAAAATACTTTTCTTTTTCATCAACTAAAATAGATATTTTTTTAATTTTTCGCTAAATAATAAATGTGTATGGACTCTATGTTCAATACTACCATTACCTGAAAACTAGAGGTTCACTTTTAACGATTTAATATCTTTTTGTTTTTAATTCTGTCCAACAAGTTAAATGCAAGTTGACAAACTTCATTATAAAATCCATAGAAACTTTCTTTATAAATAAAAAATCCATAGAAACTTTAAGGTGATAATTTGCAAATTGACCAAATTGTGTATACTGCGTGGCAAGCAATTAACCAAGGCAATAAATATTATAAATTACAGAAATAAAATTCAATGATGATCCTCAAGAAACTTCAGCCTGAAAGTTCTTCCGTGTGATGATCTTTTATTGAGGGAGATCCAAAATAATAGAAACCATGCAAAAATAATGTGGAATACCAAAAATATGATCTTAAATTTTTGAAAGGGCATGAAAATTTTGAAAGTTAACTTGGAAGCCAAATGTGCAAGCAGAAAAGAAGTAGGAACCAGGCTTTGATGCTAATTAATGCAGCACAGAAAAAGGAAAAGGAAGAAAAGAGGTGAAGAGAAGGGGAAGAGAGAGACTAGAGGAGGGAGAGATTAGGAAAAGGGAAAGGAAGAAAAGAGGTGAAGAGAAGGGGAAGAGAGAGACTAGAGGAGGGAGAGATTAGGAAAAGGGAAAGGAAGAAAAGAGGTGAAGAGAAGGGGAAGAGAGAGATTAGAGGAGGAAGAACAGCAAGAAAAGAGGGAGAAATTAGAAAAATAAAGGGAAAAAGAGAATTTAGAGGAAGAGAAACTAAATAATATGTTTATTCAAATCACAAGGTGTACAAAACAAATAAATTGAGATATTATTATAGGTCTTAACCTAACCCTAGAAATTGGTTATAGAAAACTCTAGAATCCTAGACTTGAAAGCAAATAATAATTAAAAGATAACAATCAAATTAAAATTAAAGCCAAATATTCCTTAATAATGATAAATATCCTTAATATCTGAAAATCATAATCAACCATGATTCCATATCCCATCAGTAGCCTTGCCATCCATAGTTTAATGAAATAATCATCCTTATCAAACATGATTGAATTGTTGCTTTCTGATAAACATCCAATAATCACCTCCTAAGATAATACATAGCTTCCCAATAGCTTTTTTTTTTTTTTTTTGGAATTCTTGATTGCAGCATATTTCCCACATCTCTTATCTGTACTTGAAGAAAATGTGCATACCTTGAATCCGGCAGAGTGACCTAATCTACTCACATGATCAGTTTTTTTTTTTTTTTTTCGCTTTTTGGTTGAAACGCTGCGTTTTGCAAAAACACACAGGAGCACTGTTTGCCAAAATAATTTCATATCATATGGTCATTTTTAACTAGGAATGTTCAATTTGTCCTGTTCCGGTCCCTGTGACTTCAGAACGGGACAAAAAAAATTTCGGGATGGGGTCGTCTTGTCCCATCCTGGGTGTTTTTTTTTTAAAATTATTTATTAATAATTATTATTGGATTATTTAATTTACTTATTGATAATAATAATTATTTTTATACTGATTTTTAACTCTTAAGTTGTAGTATCATCTCAATGAAATCTCCTTCCTCAATAAAATAATTCATAAAACCATTATATAATATTTTTTTACGGTATTTCTTTTACAATATTTTTTTACACTTTTTTTATACTATATAATTAAGCTTTTTACATAATATTTCTTTATAATGTTTTTATTTTTAGAAACCTAATAAAAAATAAGCATTATAATAGAAAAAAATTTATACGAAAAAGTATAGCATTTTTTTTTTAAAAAAAAAGGAAAACGGGACATGACAGGACACGGGATAAGAATCCTGTTTTATCCCTGTTTACCCGGATGGGACCGGTACCGTGACCACCCCTATCTTTAACTTCTAGTTTGTGTTGAGTGCATTGGACCCTTTAGATTTATTCGTGATAACACATCCCACCAGATTATGGAAGTTAGGGACCCATATAAACCAAGGTTAGTTTTTTTAAAAAAAATCTTGAGACAAAAACAAGAGTTAGAAGAATATTCAAGCGATGGGCCAATATATAGTTGCCCATGAAATTGATAAGAAATGGAATCAATGCTAACAGGGACGTAACCCTCACGTATTGCCATCAATTCTCTCTTCTTATACAGGCGAATGTATGGTTTCTTTTCTTTCTTTCTTTCTTTTTAAATAAGTATGTGTGATTTCTTATTAGGCTATTATTCTGCCTTCCAAATAGTATATGCATGTCTCTGAAACTTATAAATTTCAAATATAAAAACATAGACACAATTTTGAATCCAATCCTTCTGTTATGCAAGTCCCACAAGTTGAATTCACTTTGGTTTGTCAAATATCAAAGTGGAAAAATGAAACATAGAAGTATGCTTCTCTGCCTCTCTTTTATAATGTATAAAACAAAGCAAAAATGACAGCAGATTTAACGTGGAAAACCCTCTAATACTGAGGGAAAAAACCACGGGAAAAACATTTCACTATATCAAAAATCATTACAATTTTCTTAGAAATAGTACACATTTAAAGAAAAAAGATAAAACATAGCATGTAAACACTCCTAAAATTACAATCAGATGTGGCTGTTTTGCATAGTGCCGTATGAATTACAAACTCAACTTTATTTATGGTGACTCCACAACTTGAGCGATATTACTCTTTTCAATTCTTCTTTGCCAAATATATGAAACTTGAGATTTAAGAAAATATCAGCTCTTCACCCTGCAAAAAATCACAGACGTCAAAAGGTTCAAAATTGTTAGTTATGAATTCGCCATTTTATCAAAATATTCCCCACTAATTATAGGCAAATGAGAACTTAAGCATCTAATTATTCTACTTAATTAAGCATCTAATTATTCGATTTAATTCATTCATAACTCTACGGAATTAACCTCATGCGTATATTAGGCTTTTCATGTAAAGCACGTATATTATAGTTCAGTAACTAAAGAAGCATCTGTCACCAAATAAAAAAAAAGAAGCATCTTCAGGCGCCACATAAATATTAACTACAGAAAAGATCAAGAGGGTGAGACCTGGACCTTATTCTCATTTGGCTTCAATCTTCTGAAAGCATATTGTTGTCTCTCTCCTATGAATATATAGTGGGTAAAGATCTATCAGATTTGAAGTCCGCTGCATTGGCTTTACTGTACACAAATCTGCGTAATTTCTTGAGCCCAATGAAGCTTTCTTGTAAGGCCAGTGACTAAAATAAGCAGTGAACAGACAAACTGAAATATGTAAGTTTTCAAGCTTTAACAGCCAGCGATATAATTCATTGCAATTGAACTCAAATTCAGAACAGGAATGGAGTTTCCTTAATTATCACATCCATCCAATTCTGAAATTGAGTAATAAGCTAAAATCAATTAAAAATAAGAAGACAAGGTGATATAATTTGTAACCCAATTTCTTTTGCTAGATACCATTCTTCAAAATAGGCTTTCATCATAAGTTTATACATGTTAACCTTTTCATATTTCAACACGAAAACAAGTGACTTACAATGCAGTAAACATAACTCATAGGATCAACCTCAACATAGCCATCTTGAACTAGAATTTTCATGGGTAAAAGATGGTAATTAGTGTTATTGATAACAATGAGGGACACAACAAACTATTATTGTAGCATAAGCTTAACCATATTTGTTGAAAAACTAGAATCCTCTCTTACTTGTCCAAGTTATTCATTCTCTCCAACAACGTTCAATAGATTTGAAGAACCCTTGCCTTCATATATAGGATCAAGTATGTGCTGGTATGAGGCAGCTCAGGTGTCTAAAAAGTTTTCCTCTTACTCATCCCAATTTGAGTACCTGCAAAAGTTATAAAATAATTAACAGATCAGAATTCCTTCAATTCCAAATAAATGTTCCTAAAACTTTCAAATTTAAATTAAAACCATGAAATCATGATGATTGAGTAAGAAAAGGATTGAAATTAACTAAAGTAGCAGAGGAAGCGTCAAATTTGGAGTAGGATGGAGCACCCTTTAGTTGTTATCTAATTTTCATAAAAACAGAGCAAATAAAAGTAATTGTCAAGTAATAGATTACCTCATTGAATGTTTCCAAAGGTTTATAATCCATGGAGTTGGACATAACTAGTTTGAAATTTAGAGGGTGCACAAGTCCATTAGCTGGCGAATTCTATAGTAATCATCAAAGTAAGTAGCAGTGGAGTACCTTGTTTTAAAGATTCAGTGGGCAGAGCATGCTCTATGAGGCCGCCTTCTCTTGGGGGAAAAAAAAAAGGTCAGCTGCAATGAAATGTTACATTAGTAAGAGGAGTGGAGCTTAACAACTTGGAAGCTTTCTAATCATGAATTGTTATATGAAGGTGAAAACAACTTGAGTAGTATTTAATTGTTTTGAGAAAGTAATTGTAGATATCATACAAGTTTTTTTTTTTGGTTGTTTAATGGCAAAATAGTTACTAATGAGTATACCTTTGAATCCACGCAATGAAGAGTTAGATTTGAGGCCCGACGATCAATATATTTGGGATGTAACGAATTTTTCGCCACTCTGGTCCTATACGTTTCTCGCACATGTCCTTTAAAAGTAGAGAATCTGTATCCAGCCGTAGTGTTTGTAAATTAGTGAGGCAAGACATATCGGCTGGAAATGACTTCAAGTTTGGACAAAACCAAATGTCTATAACTCGCAGTGACTGGAGATCACAAATCCACTTTGGTAAAGCCTTGAGGTGACGACAACAAAAAAATTCGATTGTTTGGAGAGAATGTAAGCAACAAAGGTCTTGGCACTGCATGTTATAATCTTCATCAACATACTGTGAATCAAGTTCGCAAATACTCAATTTTTCAAGTGTGGCAGATAGATTTCGCATATGAAGAAATGGCTTCTTTAGACTTGAAAATCCCATAATAGAGAGATGTTTAAGAGAGGAGAGATTTTGCATCCATTCCTCTGGTAATGCTTCCATTTCTATCCATCCAATGTGAAGAGACTTGAGCATGGAAAGAGATGGGGTCATATCATGTGATGTTGACAGCCCAATTGTGCTCACACTTAATGTGTCTACCAATGGCTTCATGCTAGAGATGAATAATTTCAAATGCCTCACGAGATTTGGAAAAGTAGGCATGCATCTTAAGTTTGGGCAATTGAGAATGTCCAATACTGAAAGATATGAAAATGGAGGCAGTGAATCATGCCACTCATTATCTCTTGTATTTTGGAAATTTGCGTCCCTTTGCCATCCCCTTAAACTTCTACAAGAGTCAATTTTTAATTCCTCCAAAGATGGGAAGAAGTTGGTTGATGAGGAACATCCTTTACAGTATATGCACTCCAATTTATCCATCTGCTCTATGTGAAGAGTCTTGAGAGAAACAAAGCCTTCTAACGCTGGCAAGTGTTGACAATTTTTGACGTTAACAAACTTTAATTGAACAAGATTTGCACATGACAAAAGCCAATCGGATAGGCATACCCCCGGGTAACTTTCTATTTCTAGTGTCTTCAAATTTTGATGAGGGCGAAGATTTTCCAGTAACTGCATGGCATCATTTTTTTCCATCTTTGAATGGTCTCCCCAATTCAGCATCAACGAAATGATGTTTCTCTTTGTTCTCAAATTAACATCCTTGGACTCCTCCTCCACTTCCCTTACTGAACCAAGATTCTGAATGGCCAATCTACCTCTGAGGTCAAGATCTTTCAATTCGTTCAATTTGGCTTTCTTTCTCCGCTTATCATCATTACCCACTATGAAATGTGACAATCTTTGCATAGAAGTCATTTTTCCCAGCCCAATCGGCATCCCATCATCAAGGGCTTTGCAACCTTCTATATCAAGTTGTCGCAAGTTTATCAACTTTATGATAATATCTCCAGAAAATTTAAGATTATGACACGCATGCAATCTCAATGTTTGCAAATTGACTAAGTTACTCACACTCTTGGGCAAACAAGTCAATTTATCACAACAAGAGAGGTTAAGATACCTCAAATGTCTCATTTTACCTATTGACTCAGGCAAATATCTCATGCCACAGAATGACAAATCTAGACTTCGTAAGCGTTTGAACACAAAAAAATTATGTGGATCCCCTTCAAAGTCAGCGTCTATTTGATGAAAGGTTCTCAATCTACCTAGATCCAGCACATTTAGTGAACTATTGGAGTTATAATTTTTAAAAGAAACATGTATAGGACACCTTGCAACATTTTTTCCTCCATCAATGTATAGGTCAGAGCTAGCAACTGATTGGGACAGGTCATGCATCAAATCATGCATTTTAAAGTATTTTATTTCTCCTAATTCGTCCATCTTAACATCTTGTAAGAATGACTTCATCAACAAAATACGAACGTACTCTTCACCGATGTCTTCTAGCCATTGTTCCTCTTCTTTATTTTCGAGGAAGCCTTGTGCCATCCACATATCAATCAATTCATTCTTCTTATATATCCAATCTTTTGGATATATAGAACAATAAGCAAAACATTGTTTTAATTCAATTGCCAGATTGTCATAACTCAACTTTAAAATTGGCATAATTGAATCATTATCATCACGTAGCTTCCAAAAGTCACCTTTTAAGAGATCTTCCCATTCACTTTCCCGCGATTTTGAGTGCAACAAACTTCCCATCACTCTTAGTGCCAGTGGAACGCCCTTACATTTTGCTGCAATTTTTTGGCCAATAGACTCCAAATTTTGGGTCATTATTTTATCATCGTCAAATGCCAATCTTTTTAACAGAGTCCAAGATTGGTCATTGTTCAATCCTTCCAAACGATATGGCATTTTTACGCCCACTCTATTGACTACCGCTTGATCGCGCGTAGTCAACAAAATCCGACTACCCTCAGCACTACACATTAAAAACTTCTTAAACTCTTCCCACATCCGAGGAAAATCATCCCAAACATCATCTAAAACTAGCAAAAACTTTTGGCCAGGTAAATTTCGTTGAAGCTTATTTTGAAGTAGTTCTAATGATTGATCGTCCTGTTTTTCGTCAAGTAGTGATTCGAGTGTCCGTTTCACGAGCGCCTTTACATCAGAGTCTTCGGAAACACACACCCACATTCGCTTGTCGAAGAAACGCTTCGCGTCAGCATCATTGTACACCAATTGGGCAAGAGCAGTTTTACCCAAACCTCCAAGGCCGACAATAGCAACCAAGGAAACATTTTGATGGCTATTATCATCATGCAACAACAAATCAATGATGTCCTTCTTGGTTCCCTCCCTACCAACCATATCCTCTTGGAGCACAAAAGAACTAGTTTCCCTCCACTTCCTCTTTTCATGCTTCATTTCAACAAATCTTCTATCTAAGTCCAACCTCGACGTGCTTTCAGCAACAGCATTAAATCGCTCTCTAATGTTTCTAATCTGGAGAGCAACTTTGTGGCGAAAAGCGATTGGATAGGAGCATGAGAAGAATTTGCGTACCTTTCCCTTTCCATCCCTCTGGCGCAACAAATGTTGAGTGTGGATCTCATCAAGCAAGTCATCTGCTTCGTAAAGCACTTGTTTGAGTTTGGTTATCCAGCGCTGAATGCTTCGCTCGGTTTGCTGCTTTTGCTCAGCATCAGCTAGCACGGCTTTGATGTCTTCAACAGTTTCCTTCAGCCATTCAATCTCAGTCTCGACCCCATAAAACGAAGCAATCTCTCTGAATACTTCTGAAGCCAGCGTGTTGATGAGACTTGTAGCCACACCATATGGTACTTGTTCCGCCATCCTTCCTCCAGTACACAAATCAAAGGGAGACTCTCTCTGGTGTTCGATGATTAGACACAAGTGGAGGAGAAAGTGGAGGAGAAAGTGCAGGAGAAGAGAAGACTTAAAAGCACTCAACTAAGTCTACCATATGATATTTAACTCTATTGACAGAGAAATGACCATGGCAATTATTTTGGTGTCCCCACTGCACTGATTCATTGTCTCCTACTGAGGAAGAGGAAGTTTCATAGAAATTGCCTATACGTCTCTCATCCACCAACTTTGAAAAAGTTTCGTGGAAACCTTACAATAACTTCTCCCTTGTGGTGGCCCATGCAGTGAGGTTCAGAGAAACCAACGTCGTGCTGATGTGAGAGAGAGAGAGATATGTATCACAGAGATGGAGCTAGACTTGGGGGAAGTCCATGCCCAGTTTCCCGTGTTGGCTTATTTGTCAGCAACTGGTAAAAACGATTAATTTCTCACACCTAGTAAATCAAAATTTAAGTCCTTCTTAAGAAAGATGCCACATTTAATGCCATATTGCTTCTAATAAAAAGATAAATGTGTCTGGGGAAAAAAAAAACGAGAAGCAAAGCCAAACTTCTTTTGATTTCAAATCATTATTATATTATACCGTTCCTTTTATCACATATGTATTTCAGTTCTTTCTATTTCTTCTGTCATTATTAAGAAGTTACGCGTTTGAAATTCTTTCAGCAGCATATGTTTCCTTGCTTTCTTCCTTAGTCTAACAGTTCACATGTCTTGCTGGTAAAAAAAAAAAAAAACAGTTCACATGTCTTTGATTTCTCTTTTATTCTGTTGGTTGCGTTTAACAAAGAAGATTTGAGCAGATTGAACTTTGAAGTCTCTAACGCGTCATTTAATCACAAAGAACTTTCTTAATCTAATGATAAAATCCTTTTAAAAAAATAAAATAAATAGTACTATCTTGGGTCTTAAACTCAATTGACTAATTTGCCTCACTTATAATTTAATATATACTCTAATAATATACATAAATATTTTAAAAATCAAATAATATATGTTATAATTAAATATTTTAATAATTTTTTTTGATTTTTTTAAATTAGTTAAGTGAGTTTTATATGACCGAATAAAACATGTCAACGTATGTAAATAAAGCAGTATTTTGCAAGGGCCACATCATTTCATAAATCCTTTGGAGATTTCCCAGATACAGAAAGAAAGGAACACATTAGTTTTTTTTTTTTTAACGAGAAGGGACACACTAGTTTGAAGATAGGACATACAATATAATGCAGATTCCTTTAATCCAATGTGACATGTGAGTGACTACTCATTAAAAATAATAACGCCTTAGCCTTCCCTTTTTTTGGGGAAAAAAATTAGTATCGTTTTTGTCGTTGTGGTTACATCATTGCGATGTCACACCCATGGCAGATTAAATATCCTCCTTCAGTCTTAAATATAAGATCCCTTTCGCGGTATAATTTACACTGTGAAAAGATTCTTATATTTAGGACCGAAAGAGTACTATATAACATTTCAAAAAGAGGAAAATTATTTTTGAAAAAAATTAATCTCCTATTTAAAAATCATATTGATGAAAGGGACTTAAATCAAAATATTAATATTTTGCATATACAAAATTCTTCCCATCAATAAAACTTTCGATAGGAATTTTTTCCCAATTTTGCTTTAAAAGATTTCATTTAGGCCAGGAAATAAATTAAACAGAAACGGCTTACAAATTAATGAAACTATGTTTTCCAATCATTAATATAATAATTTGAAAAAAAATTATATAAAATTATGTAATAAGAAATTGATTAAAAAAAGATAGAATAACAAATATGTAGAAAGTGAAATTAATTTTTGTATTTTTATTTTTGTCATTTTTTTCGTGATCCCCTCTCTTATTACATGTTTCAACGTTATGTAGAGAAAGTATTTGCCACATAAAAAGATAATTCCACAAAGGTCATGTCATGTCATCCAAAAAAATAAATTATGATATTTTTATTCAAATTAAAATTACTTTGGGTAAAGAGAATACAAGAAATGTAAAACGCTATAAGACTATTACAATATTTTTATCCATTAAAATGCATGGAATGGAAGCATGCCATGGAATCCAACAAAATGAAAATGGTTACTGGCATGAGGGAGAAGCATTCGCCTTCATCCATGCATTCCTTATGGAAAATTAACAAATCCCAAAACTTATTCCAACAATCTCTTTAAGGATTTTTTAGGGGCAAAAACATACTTTAAGGAATGTTATTAACTTAGCAAATGAGTATTTCTTCGATCAATAATGTAGTAAGGCTATTTATCTATTTTGGTAGATGAAGGGTGCTAAATAAACTATTTAGTTACAACATATGTGCTCTAATTAATATTTCTAAAATAATCCCCTGTGATATTAGGTATATCAGTTTATAAGTTGCATAAATTAATTCTAAAGAAATAATAAATGTAAGAAAAAATCATGAATTAAGATATTACATTTGATCATGACCAAAATTTGGCTACTATATTTAGAACAAAAGAACAATTCGACAGTAATTATGTGGAGTCAAAAAAATTGAATTAAAAAGATTTTACATTGGGAAGCGACTTTCATTCAAGCTAATAATTTGGAATTTGATCCAATAATACTAAATATTATATATTACTTTTATAAGAGCTAATTTGATATTAATTTGGTCATAAATATAAAATCTTAATCTATTTTATTTTTCATATTTATCATTTTTTTAAAAATAGTCTTTGTTGTGGTTACACATGTTAAAGGTTCTATCAAATAGTAATTCTAGTTAGTACATATGATTAGCAAGAGTATTTAAAAAAATCTAAATAGTACAAATAATAACTTAATAAATTTTCTTGCTCAATTAAGTAACAAACTCTTTTATTAAAAACATGAGGGAATATTATACTACCTCCAGTCCTTAATATAAGACCCTGTTTGATTTTTATTTTGGTCCTAAATATAAGACCCCAACCTACTTTGTCTCTCATATTTATATATTTTTTTCTAAAGTAACCCTTCTAACAATGATAGTTCTAGTTAATACATTTGATTAGCAAGGATATTTTAAGAAAAATAACACATATTTAGGACAAATAACTAACTCAACTTACTTCCTTAATCTCCTCAAATTAGTTAATTGGATATTATAATTAGGACCGGAGGTAATATATATTAAGGGGAAAAGGCGAATGACTCCCAAGTGTAGGTTTTAATTTTCACCCTAGATGCATCACTTGGCCCCTACTTAAAAGAGGCTTTTATATCTCATCAGAGCGTCTTAAATTATTGCCTGCTCCTGTCCGTCACACGGCATTATTAGTGAATATCACTGCGAACGTTTTGAACGTGCTGCATCAATTCCCTAATTTATATGACCACATGTATAACACCACGCCATTAAGTTAAATTAATAAATCACCAATGTCAATCTTGTTGATTTAATTTAAAATCCTACTTATTTAACATAAAAATAGTCAAACGCTACCCCCTGATAGAACTATATAACTAATTTGCATATATTAAGAAAATTATTTAAGTTAGTTATTTATAATAAATGGACGTTGTCGTCTTTCTTAAAATATTCTTATTAATCATGTGCATGGAAACTATATTTTGATAGAGACTCATTAACATATGCAATCATCATAAGAATTACTTAGAGGCAAAATAGATAAATATTACAGATTAAATAGATTAGGGTCATCTTTTAAAACCAAATTAAATTTCCAACTATTTTCTATGTTAATGACTGGAAGTTGCATACATGAAGCATGCCCATGCCTGTTCAAAATCAGATCATAGAAATAAAGGATTAAGTACAATAATAAAAAACACACAACACTTACTCTTCCCATTAAGTACTTCAAATATACACATACAAGAGCTATCTATCTACTATTTAATTTGCTGATTAAGTACCTAGTTAGCAAATTGAAAGTTTCAAGTATATTTCATCAATACACTCAAAAGAAATCCCTGGTGATGAGAAGCCAAGAATTGCAGGGAATATCGATGTACTAATTAATTACCCCAGATCATGAATTTCAAGCGTGAGTGTTTTTTCTTAAGAGGATGTTGTGAGGTGATCATGATGCATATATGAGATTATATTTAGTTAATTTTTGTTTCTGCGTTTTCTGATAAAGAAAACGATCCAAGTGATGACTTCCAGCAACAAGGCAATAACAGCCAAAGCTGTAATGGCTGCCACATAAGCAAGCTTCCATCTCTTGTTAGGGCTCAAGATGTTGAATCCTCCAAATATGTTAATGATCCCAAGGATGATGGTGATATATCCAACACTGTGATGATACATATTCCACCAAAATCTGTACTTGTGATCCTTGTTTGGTCTCAACAACAATGCAAATACCTGTCATTTTCCAAAATACACACAGAGGTTAAATATAAACAGAGAGATTAGAATATTTCTCTTGAATTAACCACATCATGCACTAACAACAATGCAAACTATAATAAGTTGTACTGTCCATAAATTATACTCCCTCTGATCCTAAATTACACTATAAAACGAATATTATATTTAGAAACGAATGAGTAAATAATATAGTTTATTTTCATTTCATGCAATGCATGCATGCATAACAGTAATGGCTATGCTTTACGTTACTAAACGGAGTCGGTCATATGGATAATAATATCTTTGATCCTTAATATAAGAACTAGTCGACTGATTTGAGTAGATTAAAAAAATTAGTTAAATTATTTATTTATAATAAATAAGTGTTGTCTTTGTTATAGTATCTTATAAATTAAGTGTATTGACTAGAACTATTATTATTATAAGAATTATTTTAGAAAAATGAATAAATATAAGACACAAAATAAATTGAGGTCTTATATTTCGTACAAAATAAAAGTTAAATAAGGTTTTATATTAAGAACCGAAAGTAATAACATATTATTGTTCTCTATTAAGAACCATGTTATTATTTTTTATTCTAAATAAATATAAGACCTAATTTGTATAATGAGAATTACTATTTACAAGTACAATAGCCAACATCCTCATTTATTACCTGTAATGTGGCGAGGCAGAAAAGGGTAATTCCAATGTTGCGATGGCCAGAATACTGAATGCCCTCAGATTCACTTCCAAGCTTAAGACCAATGGCCCATCCTGAAACTCCAATGGCGTATCCTGAAAATTGACAAAACACATGAAGGTAGAACCATGCTGGGTCTAATGACGAAAATGCCCTTATGTATCTCGCTATTATCACCCCCACTGGGAACAGAATCCCCCAGCTCACTGCATTCAGCACTCCATGAATCTGCCATATATTAATAATTAATTAATCACAATCAAATTATATTAATCTATTCCGTAATTAATGTAAAACACTGAAGCTTGATAATTTACATTCTTTTGCTTTGTTCTTGAATCATCCCCACCACTGCTAAAACCCTGCCCAGACTTCAAGTTCAATACGCCCTTGGATTCCAAATTCGCCGGAGCAAAGTTATGAGCGTCCGGTTCTCCGTCAGTGACCGAAGGTCCCACTTGCCACACCTGGTTCACTTTTTCTGCATTTTCCGGCAGCTTCACCGTGGCAAAAATGCTCACCGCGCCACCGGATGACTCCTCCGCCTTCAAGTCCCACACGTCAAATGAAAGCTTCCTAGGAACCACTGAACTGTAAGAGCTAATGTTATACGTCTTCACCGTCACTACGCCCTCCTTGTGTTTAAACGCCACCAGAGCTTGCGCTCCGGCCATGCCAGTCCCCGTCGGGTTTATCGCCCAGGACACCCACCCACCGGGTTTCGCCGGAGCTGCGACAAAGGCGACGGAAAGAGAAAAGTTGGAGGAATCATGGGTCCAATGGAGAAAGGAGTTTAACACAGGAAGGTCAGCGCAATTGGAATAAACTTTATTATCGGTGAACTTCTGGGAAGTGCATGTGAGTGAAGTCGCCGGAGAAGGCAGCGACACCAAAAGTGAAAGACCCAAAAAGAGAGGAATAATTGAACGTGGCAGCAGAGACATAATCATCGTCGTCGTCCAAAGAGAGATTAGAGACAAGACAACGTGGGTACGTGCGTGTTCATGTGGTATTTTTTTCCTCTAATATATTTATTTGAGGCCGAGATTAAACAAAAAGCGAAAGGCACGCCAATAAATCTGGGCAAATTAGTAAGTACTGTTAGAGAGCAACAAATGCGTTGGAAGAACGTAAAACTTTTCTGCTTGGAAAGGAAATCGGACTGAAACTTTTCTCCAGATTTAGGCAGTGTTCGGTTTACTTTTCTATTGCTGGTAAAGTGTCGTTTAATTTTGTCTGTTTTTTTGTTTTACTTTTAATAGCTAATTACAACGCACTCCATAGTTCCATATGTGATATGATTGTTTCTAAAAGGAGAAAAACTTAGGTATGATATCTTTACATATAACAGTGTTGCTGGATTTTTTATTAAAAATATAAATTTTAAAATCAAATTTTTATTATTTTTAATTCAATAAAAATTAGAAGAACCCTGCCTGTTTAATATTTTTAAAATATAATTTTTCGGTATGCCGTATTATAAGCTTCGACCTTCTAGTATATTATCGGATTAAATTGAGGGTAATTGAGAGACTTGTTAGATTATTTTTGTCTCAACAAAAAAATGAAAATTTTTGTCTCAATATCATTGACGAGTATAGGGGAAATTATTTTTGCTTCTTGTAGCTGATTTCCTAAAAGGATTAAATTTATAATAGTTTTGTATATCTTTGTAAATGAAATTTTAATTAAAATGTAATGATGATTCTAATGTTTTTCGATGATTCTACAATAACTATATATTGTAGACTCAGGTTAGGTCTCAATTTAAGGAATGAATTACATTTTTTTATAAATTATAAATAGCTCATTTTGCTTAAAAAATTTTATTTTATATATAGATTATATAATGGAGCATAATACTCCTCTGGTCCTCTGGACAAAATATTTAACACTTCAATATCTTTTAATTTCAGCCTTTTGGCTGAGAACAAGGGTAAATAATGGGATATCTTTTCGGTTTCGGAAAAACTGAGTTCTCAAATTAGCATATTCTTTGATGCTATCATCAATATGAATATAGTAAAAATTAAAATGTAAAAAATTCAAAGTAAATTTTATTTAAGTTTGACTTTTAATCTTTTTTTACTTGATACGATTATAATTTTTATGTTTCAAGATAAAAATTATTTTATTCTATATTTTGTATTTTCAGAAATAAAAATATTCGAAGTAAAATAAATTCTTGAAAATTGTACATTTAAATAACCCAAATTTTTTTAGGACTGAAATTTAAATGACTTAAAGATAAGGTAGCTCTTACCTATTATTCTTTTCAGTGCTTCTGCATTGTTTAAGAGTACATCTAATATGAACCCTTTAGTTCGCAGTTAGCACTTGTTAGAAGTTCACTTTAATTAAAGTCATTATTGAAAAAAGGCAACTGGTACCACCCAACGTGAATTAAAAATGAGTTAATAAAAACGAGAATAAAACTTTTAATCCTTCAAAGTTTGCTTTGATTATCAATATAATCTTCGGATTTTAATATTTATTAACCAAGTTTCTTAAATTTTATTGGGTATCATGTTACTCCTAATTAATAGGGTTATTTTCCCTTCAAACCATAAGAATTAGTTGTATATAATTATGCAGTTTCATGAATGAAATTGATAAATATTAGATGTTAGGATTAAGTTGATAATTGAAGCAAATCTCATGAATGAAAATTTTCATTACCGCTTAATAAAACATTCTTTTAAAGTCATCCATTTAATTTGCCATAAAACATGGTAGCCAACGGACAATTTCGATAGGATCTCACTGTTAAATGGCATAATAGGAATGCTGGAGTGTCCTCATCCCCTGTTTTGAGTTTTGACAATAGGGTGCTTTCTAGTTTGAAAAAAGTGTTTATAAAAATATTTGCTAACTACTACCGATTGCGTACTAAGGGTTGGTTGAGAGATTAAATTCAGTTATTTAGTTATAAATATAATATTTTAATTCATTCTTTTTTTTTAATTTGTAATTTTTTTAAAATATTCTTATTGGTTATTGATTATGAAAGCTTCCTATAAAAAAATAATTTTAAATTCTAATACATATGATTAAATAGGATAATTTAGAAAAATCAACGGACATTTAATATTTTTAAGTTAGTATTCAACTCTTACAATAAATATCAAAGTTATTACATTTTAATGATATTATCATGTTAAAGATAAGACGCCAAACACTGTACATCTGATTTTATAAATCACATAATTTTTTCGCTAAATCTTTCTTGGAATCTTGTCAAAATTATATTTTTTAAGAAAATTACATATATTTTCTTAATTTTAAAAATATACGCAAACCTCTTCTAAAAATTATGTGTAATTTCACAGAAACGTCTCGATAATTTTTTTTGGTATTTTCATTATGTTTTCCTAATTTAACAATGAATATTAAAAGCACTAAAAAATTCCTTTTTATTTAAAGGGATATATTGCTGCTTCTAACTGGAGAGGAAAATATAAGATAATTGATCTTACGTACTTTATTGTCTTTAAAGGCTTCCCTTTTGGAAAAGTAAGATCACGTGCATGGGGAACAAAAAGATTTTTTTTTTTGGCCAGAGGGGAACAAAAAGATTCAAAATCAGATTTAAGACTATTAAATTCATCGCGACATAAATTTTATTTGCAAATAATCATTAATATAGTGAATGCCCAGATTTTGTTTCCTCTCTAAGTAGAGGATGATCCTCTCCTTCCAAAAATTAAAGCGATTGCATTATTATTTATTTAAATTGAATAAATGAAAAGAATATGACAAGAATTATACTCACATGCTTGCAAAACAATAACGTAACAAAAAAAAAAAGGAAACCCACGCTATGGTTAAAAAAAAAAAAAAAGCAGAAGCCAAAGCTGCTGCTTAAATCCAATTCCAATAAGGACAAAATTCAAATTTCCACCACAAATAATATTTTATTAAAATATAGAAAGCTTATATAGAATACATGCAGTCGCAAAATTTAACCCATTAAAAAGGAAAGAAGTAATCATTGCTTTCTATAACCCGCCCGAAGAACAAATTTCTTATTCTTCTTTATAAGACGGCATTTGTTTTTCCTAAAGTTAGAAGATGATGATGATGCATCCTTTTATTTTTTCTTATAAGGTAATGTTGTGAAAATCTAGCCTGACATCAAACCCAGAAAGAGTTGTTCCATTTTAACTAATCAAATTGAAATATTTATGATTATTTTTAAGGGCTAATATAATTTTTGACCTCTCATTTTGGTTTTAGTCCTCTAAATTTTAAATAATAAGTTTTGATCCATTAAAAAGCAAAATAATCAAAGTTTTTATTGAATTATTAAAACTAATATTTTAAATGAAGAAATTTAAAAAACCAGAACTAAAATGAAGACAAATCAGGATAACAAATGCATTAACTCTTATTTTTAAGTTACATGACAATTTCATATTTATTTCATGTATATAATATTATTATTTTTTTATTTCTGGCAAAAAAAAAATGCAGCGATAAAAATCATGAATCTTAAGCACATGGATCGCATGCCAACAACGGTTCCATCCCAAAAGGGCAGCAAATTCGCCAATTCCCCTCAGCCCATTCCCACTCACATCTGGAGAAACGCAATCCGAACAAAAATGACAACAAATTTAACATGAAAAACCCTCTAATACCAGGGAAAAAACCATGGGACCGATTCCGAAAAATTCCACTGTATCAAAAATCATTAAATGTTCTTAGAAACAGTACACATTAAAAGAAAAAAGATCAAATATACCGCGTCAACACTCCAGAGATTACAATTAAATGTGGCTGTTTTTCATAATTCGAGATGAATTACAAACTCAATTTTATTTATTATGGGGATTCCACAACTTGAGTGATATTAATCTTCTCAATTCCTCTTTACCAAATAAATGAAACTTGAGATTTGGGAGGGAAAAAAAAAACCAGCTGTTCATCCTGCAAAATAAATCACAAACATCAAAAAGTTCAAAATTGTTAGTTATGAATTTGACATTTTATCTAAATATTCCCCACTAATTATAGGCAATTAGGAACTTAAGCATCTAGTGATTCTATTTAACTAATTCATAGCTCTAAAGAATTAACCTCATGCATACAGTAGGCTTTTCATGCCAAGCGTGTATATTATAGTTCAGTAACTAAGGAAGCATCTTCATGCACCATACAAATATTAACTACAAAAAAGATCAAGAGCGTGAGACCTGGACCTTATTCTCATCGTTTGGCTTCAATCTCCTGAAAGCAGATTGTTGGTTCTCTGCTATGAATATATTGAGAAAAAGATCTATTAGATTGGAAGTCCGCTGCATAATTTGTTGAGCCCAGTGAAGCTTTCTTGAATCTGAGGCCAGTGACTAAAATAAGCATTGAACAGACAAACTAAAATATATAAGTATTGAAGCTTGAACAGCAAGCGATATAATTCATTGCAGTTGAATTGAATTCAAATTCAGAAATTGAGTAATTACCGAAAATCAATTAATAATATGAAGACACGGTGATATAATTTGTAACCCAATTTTGTTTTGCTAGATACTATTCTTCAAAATAGGATTTCATCGTAAGTATATGCATATTATCTTTTTCATATTTCAACTCAATACGAAAACAGCTTACTTAAAATGCAGTACACATAACTCACAGGATCACCCTGAACATAGCCATTTTGACTTGGAATTTTCGATGGTATGAGATGGTAATCAATTATTGTTAAATTGATAATAATAAGAGACACAACAGACTTTTATTGCGGCATAAGCTAATGTTTGTTGTAAAACCAGAATCCTTTCTTACTTGTTTTGAGTTTTTAATTCTCTCCAACAACATTAAACAGATTTGAAGAAGCCTTGCCTTCATAATTCCTTCAGTTGCAAATTACTGTTCCTAAGACTTCTGAATTGAAATTGAAACCATGAAATCATGATCACTGAGTAAGAAAAGGATTGAAACTAACTAAAGTAGCAGAGGAAGTGTCAATTTGGAGTAGGCTGGAGCACCCTTTAATTGTTATCTAATTTTCGTAAAAACAGAGGAAATAAAACCAATCATCTTGGAATGTTTTCAAAGTTTTATAATCCACGTAGCTGGACAAAACTAGTTTGAAATTTAAAGGGCGCACAAGTTATTTAGTTGGCTAATACTATAGTAATAATCAATTTAAGCAGCAGTAGAGTACCTCGTCTTAAAGCTTCAGTGAGCAGAGCATGCTCTGCGAGGCCTTCTTCTCTTGGAAAAAAAGGTTACCTGCAAGGAAAGGTTAATTAGTAAGGGGAGTGGAGTTTATCAACTTGGAAGCATTTTAGTAAGGAATTCTTATATGAAGGTGAAAACAAATGGGAGAGTATTTTTTTTTTTTTAATAAAGTAGTTATAGATATAATGAGCATACCTTTAGATGTATGCAATGGAGATTTAGATTCGAAAGCCATCGATCAATATATTTGGGATGTGAGCAATTTTTAGCCACTCTGCTCCTGTTTCTCTCTTGCATTTGTCCTCGAGAAGTGGAGCTCCATCGATTTCTAGTGTTTGTAAAGTAGAGAGGCGAGACATTTCTGCTGGAAATAACTCCAAGTTTTTACAAATCCAAATGTTGAGAATGCGCAGTGACTGGAGATCACAAATCCACTCGGGTAAAGCTGTGAGGTGATCACAATCAGAAAAACTGATTGTTTGGAGAGAACATAGGCAACAAAGGTCTTGGCACTGGGTGTTATAATCCTCATCACCAAGTTTGGCAATAGTCAATCCCTCGAGTGTAGCAGATAGATTTCGCATATGAAGAAATGGTTTCTCTAGACTTGAAAATCCCACAATATAGAGACGTTTAAGAGAGGAGAGATTTTGCATCCATTCCTCTGGTAATGCTTCTATGTCTATCCCTTCAATGTGAAGAGACTTGAGCATGGAAAGAGATGGAGTCATATCATGTGATGTTGACGGCGCAATTGCGCTCACACTTAATGTGTCTACCAATGGCTTCATGCTGGAGTAGACTAAGCACAAATACCTCACGAGATTTGGAAAAGTAGGCATGCATCTTAAGTTTGGGCAATCAAGAATACCTAATGCTGAAAGACGTGAAAATGAAGGTAGTGAATCATGACACTCATTACCTCTTGTATTTTGGACATTTGCCTCCCTTTGCCATCCCCTTAAACTTCCGCATGAGTAAATTACTAATTCCTCCAAAGATGGGAAGAAGTTGGCTGATGAGGAACATCCTTTATATATGCACTCCAATTTATCCATCCCCGATATGTGAAGAGTCTTGAGAGAAACCAAGCCTTCTAACGCTGGCAAGTATCGACAATTGTTGATTCCAGAAAACTTCAATTGAACAAGATTTGCACATGACAAAAGCCAATCAGATAGGCATACCCCTGGGTACCCTTGTATTTTTAGTGTCTTCAAATTTTGATGAGGGCGAAGATTTTCCAGTAACTGCATAGCATCACTTTTTTCCATCTTTGGATCTTCTCCCCAATTCAAAGTCAAGGAAATGAGGTTTTTCTTTGTTCTCAAATTAACATACTTAGACTCCTCCTCTACATCCCTTACTGAATCCAGTTTTTTAATGGCTAATCTACCTCTGAGGTTAAGATCTTTCAATTCGTTCAATTTGGCTTTCTTTCTCTCCTTATCATCATTACCCACTATGAAATGTGACAACCTCTGCATACAAGTCATTTTGTCCAACCCCATAGGCATTCCATCAACAAAGGCCTTGCAACCTAGTATATCAAGCCGGCGCAACTTTACAAACTTTGTGATAATATCTCCAGGAAATTTCAAATTCTCACAGCCGGTCAATCTCAATGTTTGCAAATTGACCAAGTTACTTATACTCTTGGGCAAACAAGTCAATTGATGACAATAATCGAGATTAAGATGCCTCAAATGGCTTATTTTACCTATTGATTTGGGAAAATATTTTATCGATTGGTTTGACAAATCTAGACTCCGTAAGCATTTTAACACAAATAAATCAGATGGATCCCTTCTATAATTTTTCTTCATTTCACGAAAGTTTCTCAATCTACCCAGATCCGGCACATTTAGTGAACTATTGGTGTCATAGGTTTTAAAAAGAGCATGTCTAGGACACCTTGGAACGTCTTTTCCTCCCTCAATGTATATGTCAAAGCTAGTAGCAAATGATTGGGACAAGTCATGCATCAAATCATGCATTTTAAAATATTCTATTTCTCCTAATTCATCCATCTCAACATCTTGCAAGAATGACTTCATCAACAAAATACGAACGTACTCTTCACCCACATCTTCTAAACATTGTTCCTCGTCTTTATTTTTAAGGAAGCCTTGTGCCATCCACATATCAATCAATTCATCCTTTTCATATTTCCAATCTTTTGGATACAAAGAACAATAAGCAAAACACTGTTTTAATTCAATTGCCAAACCGTCATAACTCAACTTTAAAATTGGCATGATTAAATCATTATTATCACTTAGCTTCCAAAAGTCACCTTTCAAGAGATCTTCCCAGTCACTTTCTAGCAATTTTGAGCGCAACAAACCTCCCATAACTCTTATTGCCAGCGGAACGCCCATACATTTTTCTGCAATTTTTTGGCCAACAGACTCCAGATTTGGGGTTATTTTTTTATCATCGTCAAATGCCAATCTTTTCAACAGAGTCCAAGATTGGTCACTGTTCAATCCTTCCAAAAGATACGGCGTTTTTACACCCATTCTATTGACTACTGCTTGATCACGTGTAGTCAACAAAATCTTACTACCCTCAGCACCGCGCATCAAAAACTTCTTCAACTCTTCCCACTTTCTGGGAAAATCATCCCAAATATCATCTAAAACTAGCAAAAAATTTTGGCCCGTTAAATTTCGTTGAAGCTTATTTTGAAGTAGTTCTAATGGTTGATCGTCCTGTTTTTCGCCAAGTAGTAATTCGAGTGTCTGTTTCACAATCGCCTTTACATCAGAGTCTTCGGAAACACACACCCAAATTCGCTTGTGGAAAGAACGCTCCACGTCAGCATCATTGTACACCAGTTGGGCAAGAGCGGTTTTCCCCAAACCCCCAATGCCGACAATAGCAACCAAAGAAACATTTTGATGGCTATTATCATCATTCAACAACAAATCAATTATGTGCTTCCTGTCTCCCTCCCTACCAACCATATCCTCTTGGAGCACAAAAGAACTAGTTTCCCTCCAGTTACTCTTTTCATGCTTCATTTCAACAACTCTTCCAACTAAATTCAGCTTGGACATACTTTCAGCAACATCATTAAATTGCTCTCTAATGTTTCTAATATTGTGAGCAACTTGGAGGCGAAGACCAATTGGGTTGGAGGATGAGAAGAAGTCACGTACCTTTCCTTTTGCATCCCTCTTGCGCAGCAAATGTTGAGTGTGGATCTCATCGAGCAAGTCATCTGCATCGTAAAGCAGTTGCCTGAGGTCCTTGATCCAGAGCTGGATGAGTTGGTCAGTGTGCTGCTTTTGGTCAGCATCAGCCAACACAGCTTTGATGCGTTCAACAGTTTTCTTGAGCCATTCAGTGTCCCTTTTGACCCCATAAATGGAAGCAATCTCTCTGAAGGCTGCAGAAGCCAACGTGTTGATGAGACTTGTGGCCACTCCATATGGTACTTGTTCAGCCATCCTTCCTCTAATACACAAATCAAAGGGAGACTCTCTCTGGTGTTCGATGATTAGAAACGAGTTGAGGAGAAAGTGCAGGAGAAGAGAAGACTTAAAAGTACTCAACCAACTCTACCATATGATATTTAACTTTATTGACGGAGAAATGACCATGGTAATTATTTTGGTGTCCCCACTGCATTGTTTCATTGTCTCCCACTAATGAAGAGGAAGTTTTCTAGAAATTGCCTATACGCGTAGCATCCATCAACTTTAAAAAAGTTTCGCGGAAACTTTCCAATAATTTCTCCCCTGTGGTGGCCCATGCGGTAAGGTTCAGAGAAACCAACGTCGTCTTGCTCTGTGAGAGAGAGGGTGAGATGTGAATCACAGAGATGGATCTAAGCATAGAGAAAGTCCATGGTATTTATGCTATCCAGTTTTTATTGAGATTTTATTAATAATTACATTTCTGTTTTCGGAATTCATGACGAATGGCCATGAAAGCCCACCTTTTGTCAATTGCAGGTCGGCCTTGGCGCATAAAAGATCTGTGATTCTGGTTTTGGTGAAATATTCATGGCTTATTTACAAAAAATTTTGGGCTATCCAGTCTTTATTGGAGTTTTTTTTTGGATAATTACATTTATGTTTTCGGAATTCATAGTGATGATTCTCAGCCCCCCTTTTGTCAATTGTAGGCCCAGAAATAATATCTTGTTCGTTCTCTAGTTTCATCACCAAGAGTATCCATGTGCGCTCACAGGCCCAATATCTCCATTTTTTGACCGCTCAGCAGTCTTAGTGTTCGCTTATTTATCAGCAACTAGAAGCAAAGCCCAAGGGAGTTTGGGTGTAGTAAAAAACTAATTTCTCCATAGTAAATCAAAATTCAAATTCTTACCAATAAAGTTGGGCAAAGCGGAATGAGTTAATTTCTCATAACGTAATGAATTAATATTTAAATCCTTATTAGGAGAGGTACCCACATTTAGTATTTGACAGTGTCTCTAATAGTATTGTCTCTAATATGAGGATACCTATGCGTTGGCTGAAAAAAAAAATTCAAATTCTTATTAGGAAAGATTAGGAAAGATACCAACATTTAGTGCCATGTAGTATCTCGATCAAGAATACTTCTAATATAAACATACATGTGTCTAAAAAAAAACTAGAAGCAAAGCCAAGCTTCTTTTGATTTCAAATCATTATTATATTATATTGTTCCTTTTATCACACGTCTTTGATTTTCTCTTTTATTCTGTTACCTGTGTTTAGCAAGGACGATTTGATCAGATTGAACTTTAAAGTCTCTAATTCGCCGTTAAATCAAAAAGGAACTTTCTTAGGCTAAAGATAAAATCATTTTAAAAAATCAAATAAATAGTAATACTTCCTCTATTTAACTCAATTGACTAATTTGCCTCACTTATAAATTAATATATAATCTAATGATATATATAAATATTTTTAAAATCATATAATACATGTTATAATTAACTAATTTAATAATTTTTTAAATTTTTTAAATTAGTTAAGTAAGTTTTGTATTACCAAAAAGCAATAGTATTTTGTTTTATACACGTATGGCATGGTTCTTTTAAAAGAGGAGAAAAGGTGTAAAACGTGTCAACGCATGTAAATAAGGCAGTATTACTTTGGGGGGTGCGGTCCAATTTGCAAGGGCCACGTCATTTCATAAATCCTTTGGAGGTTTTCCCGAAACAGAAAGAAAGGGACCCTTTTTTTGGGGATACACGGGAAAGGAAAAAAAAAAGGACATGTTAGTTTAAGAAAAAATGGTAAAAAACGACATTCGAAATAAAAAAAATTATAAATAAAAATTTGTGATAATATTAATATGAGTTTTAACAATAATTTT